TGTGATTGATTGAGGTGTGCTCTTGCATTTGAACCCTGTAACTGCAACACTATTATCAGACACCATAACCATTACACCATCTCGCCGCTTAGCTCACTAGGTTCTATTTTACGCCAAACCCACTCAGTAAATGTAGTAGCAATGGAACATACACATTTTAGAATTTTTATGAAAACAGTGCTAATTTAATTCATTTTATATTTTTAATTTAAAAATTTGTCTTTAAAAATTATCATTCACCACTTTCTCTCACATTCTCTCTCTTTCACTCTCTTTCCCTCTTTTTTTTTCTCTCTCTACTCTAAGTGCATAATATAATTAACCGTTAAATATTATAGATTTTAGCATATTTAAAATTTTAATACAACTTAATTATTCATTATTCACTCAAATGTAGTTATGTAGTTATAATATATTAATATATTCAGAGCAACGACTTCTGGCTGACTAACATTAATTGCGTATGCCTTGTTCTCGTGGCTCTGTCTTGCTTTCTGTGTGGGTTGAAGAGAGAGAGAAAATTTTAAGAGAGAGATTCGTATTAATATTAACATAATTTATTTTGGCTGATGAATATTCATTGTCATATTGTTCCCTTATTGTCGTAGTATATCATCACCACAATCATCGTCGTTGTCGTGATCATCATCGCCTTTACCCACTTATCATCATTATCTTTCCTCCTATCATTGTCTTCACCCTCACCGTCACATCAACATCTCCATCACGCTCACCAACCTCCAGATCCATCTCACTCTTCTTCTTCCTCTTGGCCAGCCAGCCGCTGACCAGCGAGATGACCATCTGTAGGTCCATGAAGAGCCACAGGCTGAAGCAGGCTATCATCATCTTCCACGTTATCGTCTTATCATGTTCATCTTCTTTGTCATCGTCAGCAGTAGCTGATGATGGCGGCGAAGTTGCTGTGTGGCCCGCGACGCCACTGCCACTACTAACAGTAGCCGGAAGAGTATATACACTGCTATGGCCACTACTACTGATGGTGACGTCATTCGCGAGGGTGTGTGGTGAAGTAGCTGAAGTACTTAGTATGAGATTTATAGTGGGATCGTGATCATGGTGGTCATGATTATGATCGTGGTGG